ACTATAGCCCCTTGGTCTTGGGTTCGAGTGGTGGGGGAGGCGAAAGAAATTCCTTAAGGGGGGGGGGGGGGGGGACAGTACTGAGTAGAAGTCACAGAGTGGGACCAGTCCCGGCCATGCCTCCAGTAAGATGAGGTCGTGACAAAATGGCTATACTGTCCACCATTTTGATAGTTTTTCTACATGTTATTTTGTACTATGTAAGAATGTATATATTAAGTAAAGAAAAATTTGGGTCCAACTATTTTCTATTAATTATACATGTATTTTTATTAAGTATATGTTATGAGCATATTAGTGGAAAGAAGCCATTACAATCAATCATGCTCCTATCAGTGTATAGAATGCACTCATAGAAGTATTGGATTAATAGCTGCTCACTAATTTGATGATGGGGGCAGCTTGCACATAATTTCTTAAAACGTTCCCAGTATTCATGTAGAGACTCTCTGTTGTGCTGCCCTATACCACAAATTTCTTTTCGAATATTGGCCACCCTCGAAGCTGGGAAATATTTCTCCAAAAACAACCTCTTCATCTCGTTCAATGTGGTAATACTCCTAGAGGGTAGATAATAGAGCCAATCCTTAGCCGAATCCTTCAAAGAAAACGAGAAGGCTCTTAATTTAATTCGCTCTTCAGTCACCCCCATAGATTTCATACTCGTGCAAACCACATGAAGCTCTTTTAAGTGCTTCTGAGGATCTTCACCTGCAAGGCCATGCAAAGTGGGCAAGAGATGTATTAGTCCAGATTTTAATTCAAAAGTAGTAGTAGCATCTAAAACAGGAAACGTTATGCATAAAGGTGCTTGATTCAAATCAAGGGAAGCAAGCTCTTTCAAAGTTCGATTTCCAGCCATGATGTCCTCCTCTTCTAAATCAGAGTTGCTAGCAAATTGGGAATCAAGAGCCAAATTGCTTTCCCCATAATTTCTCCAAGCTTCATTCCTTAACCTGCGCAAAGTGCTCTCAATTTCTGGGTCAAATGTTAAATCACCAAGATGAGAGGACCTGGTCATACAACAAAAAACCTCATAAAAGAATTAGAATAAATGACAAATAATGAAAACTAACTAGAAAAAAAATAAAAAAATATGGCCAGAAACACAAAAATGACCAAAAACCCTATCAAATGTTGTCTTTTGGCATCAAGAGGGTGGGGCTAGTAGCTTAGAATTTCGTTTCCTTCGAAACGAGTACTCGCAGCACTCCTAATTCAACCAAAATTTCTCTTATGAATAGTACTACTGTTCATTCAGAATAGTACTACTATTAAGATTTTTTTCTTAAAAAAAAAAAAAACAACAAGAAGGAAATAAGAATCACAAAAACAAACAAAAATCAACTAGAATCACTCCCCGGCAACGGCGCCAAAATCTGGTGTGCTATCGCAGGCAACCAAAATTAAAACCTAAAAACACATGTAGTAGCGTGAGTCAGGATCATTCCCACGAAGAGTGTCTAGCCGAATTTAATGTTACGTGAACAAGGCTCTTTAGGGGGGGGGGGTTTGAGTAAAACGGAAACACTTTCAAGAAAAACAATTCAAGTTAAATTACCGAAATCAATCAAATTAACAAACCTTGGTCTAAGCCAACATCCACCATTGGAATCTTTCAACTGATCATTGATGCAAGCAATATCAATTGTTACTTTGAGTATTCACCATTGGAATTCCTATCTCTCCTTAGTTGTAGTTAATTAGAAAACAAGCGATCTAATTAATCCTACCACTAAACAACCATAGACAAGCGCTAAAGGTTTAATCTAGTGGCAGTCTTAAGAACTCAAGAGATCGATGAAGTTGAACAGGACAAACACAAGCGGTTGTATTTAATTCAGTCGAGTGTTCTTCTTAAGAATTAATAATTCCTGACGTAGCAAATTCTTAACTCTTATTTACTCACAAATTAGAGAGATCAAACAATTACAAATTTGATATCTAATTTAGCATTAGATTGCAACAAATAATAAACTAGTAGGCCTCCTAGTAATTAAATGCAACAATCATGAAAATAGGCATAGAAGAACATCCAATACTTAAAACATATATTGAACACTAAAGAAAAACAGATTAGATCTCATAGTTTAATGATTCCGAGGCCTCCGTTTCCTTCAACCAAGTTATGAAAGTTTTAGCCACTCATGGCCATAATCAAAACTCAAAGGAGAAAAATTCCAGAAGAGAGAAAGAGAGGCGTGTGTGACCCTCTCTAATCTGATCTCTCTCCCCCTTTTAAGAATAGCCAATTCAAATTTGGAATATCTACTAAATCTCCTAAAAATATTCTAATATCCTAAGATAACATTTATCCTAATCTCATTAATTGAAAATTAAATAAAGTCCTAGTGTAAAATAGGAAAGTGGTGTTTCCATCTGTAACTTGCATGCAACAGGTCTTCAAAACCTCCAATAATAAACTGCCTAATTGACTTGCATGATAGGGCAAAATGTTCCAAAACGTCAGCAGTGCAGGTGCGTCAACTTCATGCCCGATTACAGCCTAGATGCAGTGAGTATATCTCCAAACTCAAAACATGAAAGTTGTAGATCTCTTTCGTAGAGTCCACAGCATTTTGAATCATCTCAATCGGAGCTGGGATGAGAAAGTTCTTCCCAGATTACGAAGTGATGTCGAAACTATCCGAATTCACCTAATTAGTTCTATTTTGCATTTAATGCCTCCATTTGCATCCTATATCAAAATAGAATAATAATGAGTGAATTTAGGAACTATAAAAGACTAGACATTAAAGGGGGTAAATATGACATTTTGCATTCTCATCAGTACATGAGCCTTAAACCTATTATTTATTGTTTATTTTTTATTGGGTTTGTTTGTAATTTTTATAAACAAATAGGACATGTGTGTCCTGGCTCTCTCTCTTAAATCTCCATGTATTTCTTCTCCTCATCTCACTCCTCTCGTATGTAACGCGAGGTTTCTATTTTATTGATGCAAATTAGGATAGGTTTTTTATTATAAAATTATTTGTAATGATCTTAAAGAAGAAACGAAGGAGCTATGAAGAGGAATAACTTGAAGATCCAAGATTTATTTTTAAACCCTAGGTGGACCCACCGATTCCTCTAGGCTCGAGGAAATCGGTTTTAGTGGGCCAGGTACCTACATGTTTAATTTTTTGTTTAGAATGCATGCTAAGGTTGAATGTTCAATAACATGCCAAACAATGTCATTCTAACAAAGATATTAATCTGGTGAGACATTAAATAAAAACCCTAAAACAAGATATATTAAGTCATGTATGCCTTCCATCACCATGGTTTTAATCAGACCACTGTTCATCGGAACCTTGTTCGCCACAGCGAAGGGTACACTTATACCAGTGGGAGGTTAAAATTCATTGGAGGAGTTTTCCTTAATGATGATAGGTCGACTTAAAATGATAGTTTTGCTTGTTCGCCATAGCGAAAGGTTGATAAACACATCATAGGCATAGTAGAGAAGTACACATATTGAGTGCACGTGGCGACATGTAGTGTCCACTCTACTGATACTGGGAATCACACTTGAGTACGATGGCTAGGCCGTTGGATTGTGTGATTGGGTTGTTGGCTTACTTCCCATTTGAGGTTGGTAGTGAGGGCTATCAACTGGTGTGGATTAAGTTTGTTGGCCTACCTAATCAACCCATTTTGGCTTGTTCGGCACAGCGAAGGTTTGATGTAAGTAATTGATCTACCATATGCAACGGAAAACAAAAATTCAATCGGTAAATCAATTACATTTCTTCGCCTAGATCCAAGTATAGATTATATCGTTTACATGTTTATAAACAAAATCTGTATCAACTAAATCCATTCAAGGATTAGAATACTTACGTACGTTTGAAGGCTCCTTCGAATATCTCTAATTTCGGACATGAACACTGTTCATTGGATACTGTTCATGATCTACTATTCACATGATTCTTCACTAGTTGTTCCAAAGTAGGATCGCACTCACGGAAGTCCACACGAAGATAATCTACAGAACCCTTGATTATTTTTCTAAAACCATCAAGGGCTTCAAGAATTAAGAAAGAAGAACAAGAAAGGTTTTCTTCTTGAGAGAGAGAGAGATAGGGTGGCTAAGGTTTTAATTGAATGAATAATAATTCCTTATGTTTTAATTTTTAAGTTGCACTTATATAGTGCAACAATTAAAACCCTATTCCACTTAGGAATAGCCATGGGCTCCAACCCTAGTTCACCCTTGCAACCAAACACACCTTTTATGGTATTTTAATTAATTAATTATTATTAAAATTAAAATCAATTAGTATATATAATAATATATTAACATTCAATTAATAATAATAATTCATTTAAATATATACATAGATATATTTAAATATAATCTCACTAATTTAATTTTAATATTAAAATTAAACTAAGGCAACAACCTTAGCAAATTTAATTGCACTGTGAGATTACCAAAATACCCTTTTTTCCTGAAAGAAGAAAATACCCTTCTCACAAATTGATTCTTAAATTATCTTTCAAGTGTTTGACCCGCAACAAAGCTACGGACACCGAATATTTTGCACCAAAAATGTGTACCAACCTACGTGTACGCGTGACTCACACCAGCAGTCCAGACGCCTGATTTTTCTATAAATATTTTTCTAGTGAAACCGTTCACTCACATGGACTCCCGTCCATATTTGATGGATGGGGGTCCATTTACTAAGGATGGGCATCCCCATTTAAAGGACGCCCGTCCATAAGTAAAATGGAATAATTTTTTTTATAAAAATTAGGGACGGTCGTTCATCTGTTATGGACGGTTATCCCTTCATTTTGGACTGGCGCCCGCAAATAAGGGACACCCGTCCTTAACCAAAATATGAAAATTAAAAAAATAAAAAATTTGGGGACAGTCGTCCCTTATGTTTGGACGGGCGTCCATTAGGAATGGATGCCCGTCCCTTAAGTTTGGACGAGCATCCATTAGGAATGGACGCCCGTCCATACTTTTAAAAAAAAAAACCATTCTAAACACCTCTTCTCTTCCTCGCTTTCTCAGACTCTAGTTGCTGCTCCAATCTACTTAGTCTCCATGTCGCTTCCTTCTTGTGTTGCAGCCAGCTTTGCTTACCCTCTTCAAGCTCCTTACAGTATTGTATCAAAGTGCCCACTTGTTGACCCGGTATGAACGTACTTCTCCGCAAAAGTCTTTAAAATATGATCGTACCTCCACTGAGCAACCTTTTCTGGTGACAAAACCAACGCCGAAGTGACTTGAATAACATTCCCTTCTTGATCCGAATACTCTCTTCTTTGCTTATGCAATTGTTTCGACTGTTTCTCCTTAAAAACTTCCCACCACTTGCCGAGTCTTTTCGCCGTTCTTCCGGGGACTTCACTGGCAATCTTTTTCCACTTGTTGCCATACTTGGCTTGTAAAGAAATGACTAAAGATTGTTCTTTCAAGGTTAAAGAACCCTTTTTAATGCCGGGTTTGAGGTAATACATTGCAAATTAACAGTAAATTCCAATGCCCAACTGCTTAATTAATCTGATAAAACTGTGGAAAAATTATACCGTTGGATAAGGCCATTTGTTATGGATACTCCGCCAATCAAACAAGATTTGCCTGGCTTCTTTCGGTAGTTTTCCCTTTTTCTTCTTCTTAGAAAACTCATGATTCAAGGTGCTAATATAACCACCATATTTACGGAAGAGTTTGTCCTTAAGCTCACGGTCCACCGGTGGCGTCCGAGAACATTCAGGAGCCTCACTCTCACCCCAACTATAATCTTCATCAGATGATGCAACACCTTCATCTACCAACAAGATAGATATTAATAAATAAGAAAATGCCAAACATCCTAAACATATTCATTTACTTCTGCATTGTCCACGTTAAAGAATCATGCATGAAAGATGCTTATTTTTCCACTCAAATACTTATCCATGTAGTTTTCCCAAACCTGCTAATTCGTAGAAACAGTTCTTGAAAAAACAAACATTTTAAAGATGGCGTCTTCTTCTGGTTGCCAACGTATGCTCTCAAGATAATGATGGCCCAACGTTGGCAACCAGAAGAAGATGCCATCTTGAAAGCATACGTGAAGCAATATGGCCCTAAAGAATGGAACCTTATTTCTCAGCCTATGCCAAAACCTCTCAATCGAGACCCCAAGTCCTGTCTCGAACACTGGAAAAACTACCTCAAACCCGACATTAAAAGGGGTTCTTTAACCCCAGAAGAACATTCTTTAGTCATTTCTTTATAGGCCAAGTACGGCAACAAGTGGAAAAAGATTGCCAATGAAGTCCCCGGAAGAACGGCGAAAAGACTAGGCAAGTGGTGGGAAGTTTTTAAGGAGAAACAGTCGAAACAATTGCATAAGCAAAGAAGAGAGTATTCGGATCAAGAAGGGAATGTTATTCAAGTCACTTTGGCGTTGGTTTCATCACCGAAAAAGGTTGCTCAGGGGAGGTACGATCATATTTTAGAGACTTTTGTGGAGAAGTACGTTCATACCAGGTCAACAAGTGGGCACTTTGATATAGTGCTGTAAGGAGCTTGAAGAGGGTAAGCAAAGTTGGCTGCAACACAAGAAGGAAGCGAGATGGAGACTAAGTAGATTGGAGCAGCAACTGGAGTCTGAGAAAGCGAGGAAGAGAAGAGGTGTTTAGAATGGTTTTTTTTTTTAAAGTACGGACGGGCATCCATTCCTAATGGACACCCGTCCAAACTTAAGGGACAGGCATCTATTCCTAATGGACGCCCGTCCAAACATAAGGGATGGGTGTCCAAAATATATGGACAGCCATCCCCAAATTTTTTATTTTTTTAATTTTCATATTTTGGTTAAGGACGGGGGTCCCTTATTTACGGGCACCCGTCCAAAATGAAGGGACGGCCGTCCATAACAGATGAACAGTTGTCCCTAATTTTTATAAAAAAGTATTATTCCATTTTACTAATGGACGGGCGTCCTTTAAATGGGGCTGCCGTACGTAGTAAATGGACCCGTGTCCATCAAATATGGACGAGAGTCCATGTGAGTGAACGGTCGTCCATATTTGATGAACAGCCGTTCACTAGAAAAATATTTATAGAAAAATCAGGCGTCTGGACTGCTGATGTGAGTCACGCATACACGTAGTCCGGTACACATTTTTGGTGCAAAATATTTGGTGTCTGTAGCTTTGTTGGTTTGACCCGTAGGCTCCTTATCATATCGACAGTGAGTAGTATCGCGATTAAAACCAATTAATCGTCTCACTACACACAGACCAAGATTGGCCCATAGCAAGGCATCATGGCCACCCGATAGATTCGGATTCAGCGAAACCGCAGCCTGTCAACGATTTGGTTACTATGCAATCAAATCCTTTCATTGAGACTAAGGTACATAAATAGTGTTAACCTCAGATATCCTTGATATATTTGTATTGAGTTACTAGACCAATGACAGGAATATTAAATTGGATTGAGCATCAACTCAATCCCATTGTGGCCATAGATTTAGTGTCATTGCCATTTACTGTACCCAGTAAGATAACTTTTCTTGTACCCAGGAGTGATGAATCCTTTGTCGATCTACCATAGTCTCGATGCACTTCTCATTGTAGCGAATCACTACCATATTGATAGCTTTGAATAGAACTATGTTGGGCTAGTGTCAAACTACACCAATTGCTGCACAAGGCATCTGGTGATCTCAAGTCTAAGAATCACATGCACCACCATCCGTTTAAGGATTTATTCCATAGACATTGGGGCTACCATCCGTAACATACAACACTAGGAATACCATTGGGCTCCCACTCACTTTCTTGTAAACACAAGGCTCATCTTCATTCTTGATAAAACTGAATTCTTTTACGGCTTCATCAAAAACGAATGTTCCAACTCCTTAAAGCTTGCTCAAGTCCATAAATGGATCTTTGTAACTTGCATACCTTCTCAACCTGCCCATCAAGAACGAAACCATCGGGTTGTGTCATATACACATCCTCTTCAAGGTTTCCATTCAGAAAAGTTGTTTTGACATCCATTTGCCAAATCTCATAATCATGATATGCAGCAATCGTAAGCATAATCCGGATGGATTTAATCATGGAAACCAGCGTAAAGGTTTCCTCATAGTCAATACCATGAATTTGTTTGAAACCTTTGGCAACCAGTCGTGCTTTATAAGCGTGCATCTTGCCATCCATGTTAGTCTTGTTCTTGAAGACCTATTTACACCCTATGGGTTTTACCCCTTCAGGTGGTTCCACCAGAGACCATACTTGGTTTTAGTACATGGAGTCCATCTTAGATTTCATGGCTTCAAGCCATTTAATGGAATTTGGATCTGATATAGTGTCTTCGTAGGTTCTGGGTTCATCGTCTTAGTAGACAAGTTGATGCCATGTTGAGTCACGAGATAACCGTATCTCTTAGGCTCATGGTGTACTCTCCTAGATCTACGTAACTCCTGTGCTACTTGAGGTACTTCACTTTGATCCACAAGTTGTGGAGTAATGTAACGCCCACATCGAGGTACGTAGCTTTACTTATGCCCTAATACCCTTAGTTGAATTCTGTTAAAGTTATCTTAAACAAGTGCGAAGAAAATGCCTTAAAATTTCATTAGGGGTAAAATGTCTTTTCACTCATAATTAGTTGAAAATGTGGGGAGTGAAAAGAGATAGAATTTAATGGAGAATGCAATAAAAATGACGGCATTATGGTAATTGGCTAAGGGATGTAGATGGAATTTCATAGAAAGTGCAAGGGTAAAATGGGAAACTATAAATAATATTTTATTATATCAAGAGTTGAAGAATGAAACCTTAGCCATTTCTTCTCCTCTTTCATGCCACCTTCATCCCCAAATTCTCTCAATTTCTTCAATTCTTTTTCAAGGGAAATTCATAGGTTTTGGGTTATTTTTAGTGGAATTTCAATCCCAAGCATCTGTAGGTAAGATCATTGCACTAAGTTATGAGTTTTAATTTTTAAAGTGTTGAATTCTTATGATTTTTATTTAGAGGATTTAAGAGAAAGAGAGTTGGATCAAAGAAGACTACTAAAGTATTGGATTGCTCACATCTAAGGTAAGTAAATCCAACCCTAGTTATGATTAGAGTAATATTGTGTAGAGAATTTCTTTTATGCATATATGCGTTTATATATGAAGAAATGTTGATGGAATGGACGTTGACTGATGATTAGAATTTAACCATGAGAAGTAGTTTTTGTGTACTTGATGTTTGATGAGAGTTTGGATGAATTATGGAAGAATTGGAGTAGAATCTATGGAGTGTAAATCCTAGACAGGTTTGGCGTTAATCTTAGAGAATTTTGTTCCAAATTTTGGTGGCTTAGAAGAGAAGTGTAGCCAATTTGGAGCTTGTATGTGCACATAAATTGTTTGATGAAATGTCAAAGAAAAGTGCATGTATAAGTATGATTATTTTTTATCTTGAGATGAGTTTGTAGATAGTAGAGAATGACATGTTTACATTCCATATTGCATTGTTGCATCTAAACATGTGAATTTAGGAAGAATTATAAGCATAAGCCCATCTACATGCATACATACTCATAAGAACATTAAAAAGCATTAAAGAACATTAAAGAGCAAATAGAAATAAATGAGAATATTAAAGAAGTTCAAATCTGAATTTTTATTTAAAGAAGTGTAAAAAGATAAAAGAAGAGAAGGTTGTTGCGATGGGGAACCCATGAGTGACATAGCCCCGCATGCACGCTGTCTTTAGTAAGCGGCCTCAAAATTCAAAAAGAAGAATTGTATAGTCCGTTAGAAGTGCATGTGGATGAGGACTGTACCCAAAATTAGAGAATACACTCACACAGCTAGGGTTCCAAATCCATGCCTCAACCGAGTCCGATCAGCAAGAAAAAAAGAAAGAAAAGAAAAGAAAGAATAGAAAGAAAGAAAGAATAGAATAGAAAAAAAAGAATAGAAAAGAAAGAAAGAATAGAAAGAAAGAAAGAAATACAAAGAAAAGAAACAGAAAACAGAAAAAGAAAAATAAGAAAAATAGAAAAGAAAATGCATATTCTATGCATTTGTACATTTGCTTCATATCTATGCATGATACCATGCCTATTATCATGAGTAGTGAGAAATTAGAAATTGAGAAAGAACAAAGAAAAAACAAAGAAAGAATAGAGAAAGAATAGAGAAAGAACAGAGAAGAATAGAGAAGTGTGATCTAAGGAAAGAAAATTCAGAATTTAAGCAACGGAGAGAGAAGGGTAGCATAGTGGGTTTACTTACTAAGCAATTAGTGCTCACCCCATTGTTTTCAATGTTTTTGCAAGTAGTATGTGAGATGTGGTCGCTTGGAACGTCAAGAAGCGGAAGGGTTTGGCAACACTGTCGAGTTATTGTTTTGAGACTTTATTATATTAAGTAAAGATTTGTATATAAAGAAAAATTAGTTATGGGCCCATTATTTTATACTCATCTACATATATATTTTCTTATATATATTTTGTGAGTTTTACTGTTATTTTACGAGTATAGTAGCTAGAGAGAAAGTATTACAAGTAACCTCTTCCTGATGTTCAACCACTGCTTGTGGCACATCTTCCCGTCCTTCATCTAGTATATCTTGTAGCTCTAAAACTTCATCAAGTTCTACTTTTCTCCCACGAGTACTTCTTAGAAAAAATTCCTTTTCTAGGAAGACACCAGTACGAGAAACAAAAATTTTGCGCTCTTCTGGATGGTAGAAATAGTATCCTTTGGTCTCTTTAGGATACCCAACAAATATACATTTGTAGGATTTTAGGCCCAGCTTGTTCGAAGTCAATTTCTTGACATAAGCTTCGCAACCCTAAATCCTTAGATAAGACAAATTGGGCTTTCGCCCATTCCATAGTTCAAATGGAGTCTTGTCTACAAACTTTGATGGCACACGGTTCAAAATGTGAGTTGCAGTCTCTAGGGCATAACCCCAGAATGATGCAGGTAAATCACTAAAACTCATCATGGACCTAACCATGTCAAGTAAGGTTATAATTTCAGACACTCCATTGTGTAGGGGTGTATATGGAGGGGTGAGTTGTAATACTATCTCATATTCCTTCAAGTATTCAGAAAACCCTGAGCTTAAGTATTTATCTCCTCGATCTGACCGAAGAGCTTTAATACTTTTGCCCAACATATTTTGTACTGCATCCCTGAATTCTTTGAACTTATCAAAGACTTCAAATTTATGTCTCATGAGGCAGAAATAACCATATCTACTAAAATCATCAATAAATGTGATGGAGTAGGAATATCCACCTCTGGCTTTAACTGTTAGTGGACCACATACATCACTATGGATGATGCCTAACAGTTCAGTAGCCCTTTCACTTTGTCCTGTGAAAGGTGACTTGTTTATCTTGCCTAAAAGGCATGACTCGCATTCCTCAAATGACTGGAAGTCAAAAGGGTTCAAAACTTCATCCCTTTGAAGTTTTGCAATGTGGGTCTGATTAACATGACCCAATCTACAATGCCAAAGATATGTATGGTTTTGTTTGCTATGTTTAGCTTTCTTAGTT